GACTGCAGGGAAGGTGCAGGCAGCACACCCATTAGACGTCTTGCCCCCAGCTCAGCCACTTGCCTGCTTGCTGCCCTCCCTTCAGCTCTGCCTGTGCCAGGGCTTGTCGCAGCCCGGCTGTTGGTCCGGCCCCGCAGCACCTCGTCCTCCTCCAAAAGCACCTGCAAGTTCCCACATTTATTTTGTGTCCTGCTAAAACTCAAGTTTCAATAAGCTTTTCATGTTCACTGCCAGAGAGAAGGAAGCAAATTCCCACCCCAGGTCTTGGCAAACCAGGGAAAAACTTGTTATGAGCTTACGGGAGCCAAGAGAAATAGGGTGAAACTGAATCCCTTAAAGGGCAGGATCCACGCACTCCTTGCATGTGGCCCTTGTCATAAATCATGGGGAATGATGACAATCTGGTGCATTGGTGAGCCAGCTGCTAGCTGCAAGTCCCCAGCACAATACAGCAGTGAACAAAGGCCAGCCCCATCACAGGGTGCAGCAGGAGATGCATTGTACCATAATCATTAAGTACCAGCCCTGGCATGGCCCCATCTGGACTGGCACGGCCACAGAAAGATGAACTCAAAGGGGAGCCGATGCCAAGGATGGCTGCTAGCACAGCTGGGGGACAGCCTGTCCAGCAGAACAAAAGCAGAGCACGGATACGAGCCCCGTCCGCACAAGGCTAGGAGGGGGGGAGCAGTATTTAAACAGTGCTGGCAAAGAAACAAACAAGCATAAATTGGCCAGGAATAAATCTGGACGGCAATTATGAGACAGCTCCTGAGCCTCATGGCAGAGGACTGACAGACAGCTTTCTGCAGGGCTGCTGTAAACTGAGCTGGTTTGAGGGTGGTGGGAGCTGCGAGACCCGGTCAGTCTGTCTTTGTGCTATTTTTCTACATGGTATTTTGACAAGGGGGTGGAGGAAGCCATAGGATGGGTATCAAGAGACGTGGTCCTTTTGGCACAGGTCGTGCCATGCACGGTGGGGTACACAGCTCAGCAGCAGTGCTAAGCAGCTTGATTCTCTTGCAGGGATGAGTTTTGTGACAGCCACTAACACAGATTAACATAAGCAAGAGCTTTAGCAAGCAGGGACAACCACCTGTGCTAAGAAGACTTGGGCCATTAGGAGAAAGATGCTGTGAACAAGCTGCCTTTGCACAGGAGGAATCCTCGGGGAGAGGATGTACAAGCACGGAGGAGTTAGACAGCTCCAGGCCACTCAGGTGCAGGTGAGCTGGAAGGTCTTGCTAAAATCAGCTCCCAGCTGGGAAACCGCAGGGGTGCCAGCACAGAAGGCATGCTGTGAATCCTGCGGAGATCAAAACGTCAAGTCTGCTCTCGGAGCATGACTTCACCCACGTCTTGTCGCAGCAGCTGCATCAAGTCACAGGCCAGGAGTTGCCAAGAGTGATAGGAGCTGCTAACAGTCACACTAGATCGTCCCGCTCCAGGGATGGGTACAGCAAGGAACACTCCCTAAAATAAATGCTGGGCGCACAGCTCCCATTCATGCCTTGGGTTAGCAGCACAGCCTGGGCTGTCCCAGCTGGCATACTACACATGGTGTCCACAAAGCAGACACACCAACTCCTGCAGACGGGTGCCCTCTTCTCCTGGAGGGCTGCCAGACCAGCCTGATGCTCGAGCGAGCAGAGGCTGCTTGTCAGGCAGCTCTTACACCGCACCCCGCAGGGCCTCAGTCAGCAGCTGGGCGATCCTGGCTGGGAAGACACAGAGTGGGAACAGGACCTCAGAGTTACTTCTGATGATTTATCGTGAATGCTCTGGCTTCAAGCTGCCACAGTGGAAGCCAAGACGCAATTGTATCGTGGCCGAGGACCCTGCAGATCTCAACGAGCCAGTGGTGCAGAGCCAGGGGAGTTGGTGGTACAGCTTTCAGGCATGTGCCTCCAGCAGCAGCCCCCAAGGACAGGGCTCCCCTTGCTGCGCTTGGGAACCAGGCCCAGCTGGCAGGCTACAAATGCAGCCATAAATTTGCATTTCTCCCTCCTGCTGCTCTAAATCAACTGAGACCTTGTACAGCATGCAGCTCTGGCCAGTGTTAACTGCAAGAAATTGCAGCTCCTCAGCCTCAAGTTCTTGATTTTTTTTTTTTTTTTGATGACTGATAAACCCAAGAGCAAATACCCTGGTACCTCTAGAGATGCTCACGGGAACTATTTATATCAACATGATCCTGCAGAAGCTTCCCCATAATGACAGGCACGTACACATTCTTTTTATATTTAGCTTATTCGAAAGACTGGGCATGGGAGAGCCCAGCTCAGACAAGATCTATTTCTTTCTCCCTTCACTGACGCTTGCTGACACTGGATTACACCTCATGCTTGTAGCCCATACGAGTTCAGTATTCCCTGAAAAACGGAGAAGTCTAAGTCTAAAAAGCACCTTTTTGCTGCTATTCCCTTCCATGCTTCCACTTCTCCCACAGCGTGGGATTTCTCTGGCCTTGCTGCCAAAACCAAAACATGTCACACGCCCTCCTGGGGTGCCAGTGTAAGTCAAGAGAGCTCCTGCATCTGCTTTTCTCTTTTAAAGGAGTATTTTGGAATACAATGACTCATCTTGTTTTCGTCTCAGCTCCTTGTGCTGCAAGGAACACGAGCTGCAGGGAGTGTAAAAGCTCCTACAGTGGCCAAATCTGGCCCAGGTGAAAGACAAACCAATGCCAACATCAGTGGTTTAAGGGGACTCGGTGTCTGTAAGGCCTTCTGCTAACCAAGAGCTGCATTAACAAGGAGGTGGAGCTGAACAAAAAAGCCGTCTCCCTTATGCTACGTGAAACAAAAGCTCTCTCAGGACAGACTTCAGTTTTGGGGAAAGAACTCATGGTTTTTACCTTCAACTTTTGTTTGTTTGGTTGGGTTTTTTTAAACAATTTTTAATTTAGCGCCCCATTCCATGAAGTGTAAGAATGCAACAGCGTGAGGAAAGGGGAGTGGGATGCCCTTTTGTGAAACAGTCCTGGAGGGACAAGGCGCTCCCGAATCCAGGCAGACATGCTTGTGGTGGAGAAGAAGATGTGCAGAGGCAGTTGTACAACAGAGCTTTATAGTCAGAATGGATTGTACCAGGTTTTTTCGATGCAAAATGGAACATGACCCAAAATCTTCACAGAACAGAAGCGTTTTCAGGAACGCAGCCAGCTGAAGCTCAAACACCTGCCTGCCTTTTTTGCAAGAAAGGGTGCAAACCAGTCACGTCCCAATCCACTTTTTCCTCCCCAGACGTGCAAAGTTTGAACTGTCCCATGCAATTTCCCTAAAAAACCTACAGTGTCACGTGAAATGTAGTAAATGCTCAGAGAAGTAGGCAAATGCTAATGGCAAACAGACCTGAACAATATACTGCTCATGCAGCAAAAAAACCCAGTTTGTTTTATAGGGAAACAGTTACAAGTGCATTTTGGGGGCTGAGGGAAAGAAAAACAAAAATGGAGCAGGTAACTGCCTGCTGGTCAAGATAACTGTGGAGTGGATAATGGAACAAAAGAACACCTTGCTTTATATGGATGTAAAAGGAAACCCCAGTTGACATTTTACAACAAAAAGGGGAGAGGGAGAACAAAACCAAATCTCAAACCAACCTGCAAGCAACAGGGTAATGTAATGCACAGAACCTCGAAGGAGCTTCACCATCTGAGCTGTGAAAGGGACACCAGAACCAAACGAGAAGAGGGTACGGAGAACTAACAAGCTCCATCAAACACAGGGGCTGCTCCTTGAGACACAGACAAGTGCAAAGGGCTGGCCTGTAGCGCCCATCCAACGGCAACCGACGCTGCTGAGCAGGTACCAATCCACGGGATTAAGTTCAAAGCAAAAATTAAAAGGCTTCTCAAACTCATGGGTTAGGAGGAGGCTCTCCATTTGGGGCAGGGAAAGGCAGCACGTTGGCTGCTGGGAGGCTCAGCCCAGTATACACGGCTGCAGGATCGACAGAAGCTGGACCAGGAAGGATGCTGTCTGAGCTACAGTGGTTCTCCCTCTCAGAGCTCAGAGGCAGCTGGTGTTTTACAGTGTGACTGTAAAATGCCTGAGAAGCAAATGCCTTGCCATGCTAACACTTCCCTGTAGACAGTTCTGATGCTCTGGATATTTTCATTTCCACATGAGAGTCATGTCCCTGAGAGGTACCAAAGGGAGAGGATTCTAGTATATGCAAATTCAAGGTTGAGAAATGCAGAAAAGCATTGATTTTTCTCTCTCTTTTTCAAGTTAACTTTGCACTTTGCATTGTTTTCCCAAACTGCATAGCAGCTTACGTGTAGTGTCTGAGACACTGGGGCCACGGAAATCAATGGTGTTTCATGAATCCCACCAGCAGCACCAGTGAGTGCTAATTAAGCTGCTGTGCAGAAAGGCCCCGTTCAAAGGACTCCAAAATCACACGCACTCTCTCTCACTCTGGCCCTGCGGCTGCTGTTTTAGAGAGCTGTAACATAGCATGATCTGCTCAATTTAAAGCTCATCAACTGCTGGGTGGAGCAATGGCCAATACTACCTTTCTCATTAAAAAAATAGGAAGGATAAAAAGTTAAAGACTTGAGACAGGCGAGCACGATGCGTTCATGCGGTATGTTTTGTTGCACTCCTCTGAACAAGACAGGAATTTCAGGTGTGCAGGAGTGGAATATAGCAGGGGTGGAGCAGGAGGCAGGTCCACTTCACTTCCCACACCCTGCCAGCTTCCTGATGGGGCATCTCTGGAAGGAGAAAAAACGACAGCCTGGAAGTGGGCCTGAGAACTGTGCCCTGAACCTTCCCCTTACTCAAGTACATCTCAGCTGGATTTTCTTTGTGTAACGAATGCACGAGAACAGCACACACAGATGTAAAGCTTTTCTTTTGCCGACTCCATTTTGAGAGACTATATGGCAAACAGCCAAAGCTTTACACATCTGCACCTGTCCTGGCGTGACTTGTAAGAAAAGATGGAGACAGCCACGACAGAAGAGTCCGCTGCGCGTACATGCAGCCAGCCTACAGCTCCTCATAGTCCCCACCTCCTCGCGGCTTGCTCACGCTGGCTCCTCCTCCTCCAAGAAAAGCCTCAAGTTCATCTATCTCGCTGTTTTTCTCCTTGCTCTTCTTTTTCTTTTTCTTTTTCTCCTCTTTGTTCTCCTCCTTCTCTTTGCTCTTCTTGTGTTTGCTCTTCTTTTTCACAGACTTCTCATCTTCCTGCAAAATGAGAAAATTTTTACTAGTAAATCCTCTGAGCATGCCAGTAACCCAGCATCTATCACCCTGAAACTTGGCTCTGACGGGAACCTTACTTAGGGTGAAACATCTACTACCATGGCTGGCATGGAGTTAATTCCAGAAGATCCTTCTGCGAGTTTGGACAAAAGAGAGAAAAGACCATCTGGTTTATATGCAGTAGTGGTCTGTCAGGCAGTTTGTGCCCGACAATACCACAGTATTGGACAGGCAGAAATGTCAAAGACAAAGCCTCCTGCAGACTTCCCTTGCTGCCTCTGATATTAGGTCTGTCAGGGACACCCCTCTGCTTGGAAAAAGTAATGGTTCTATCAACAGACTCAGCCTAGCAGAGATGCGCTGCTCTATTTAATCGTATATTTATCAAACTCTCACACTGCCTTTTCAAAATTCAACTGTTCTAAAAGCTTGCTTTTAAGCTTAATGGTCTGCAGAGCACGGAAGGCACAGATCCAGCTGTTAGATGCGAGAATGGAAGGAAGTCCACCAAGACAGAGTACACTTGTAGAAGGCCACCCCTCTCCTTGGCTGGTAAATAATACGGCAGATCAGGTCTGAGGAATTAAATAGTACCTCTTTGCTTTTCTTTTTCTTCTTCTTTTTCTCCTTAGAAGGTTGTTTATCTGTTCAAACAAAAAAAAACCACAACCCATTGTTTATAATGAATTTAAACCGTAAGAGATGCAATTCTGCCCTGTCCTGATTTCTGAGAACAAAATGCTCCATCCTGGACTCATGGGCAAAGGCAATCCCAACACCTCAGGACAAACTGCATGCCTTTAGAAACCAACATGGGCCCCAGCAGTCACGCCCTAACTTAACCATATACATCTAGTTTAATTATGAGCATTACATTACATATTATTCTGTGTTATGAACACTGACCTGGGCATTCACTATATCACAGCTACTAAGAAACGAAAGTAAGAGACCAGCTCTACAAACTGGTCCAAAGGCCAAATTGGGGACCAGATTACTATTTTCAGAACTGAAAAAGAGCCCTGGGAAGAATTTCCCCCTGACCACCAAATATTCAAAGGCAGATGGAAATCCTACCAGGCACTGTTTATGATTCTGTGAGTTGAGCTAGTAATGGAAGGACCATTCAGGACATGGTGTCAGCAGATGGGAGCACCCTGGCAGACTAGCACTCACTGTTGTTCAAACTGTGTATGGAAATTACATCACCACGAGGCCAAAGCGTCAGTGCTGCAGCCCTGCTCTACAGGGGTGGCTACTTTCATGGTATCAAATGAGTCCCAGAGTCCATCACTGTCAAAACGTTTGTCCCAGGTTATTGTGGCTGATGGCTGCTGCTTTGACTGCTGAATGTCCACTGCCTTTGCACAAAACCTCCTTGAACAGGAGAGTATCCACTTGGCTGTTTCACAGGAGGCTTTATAACTGCACTACATTTCAGGGGTGGTATTCGACTGTCAATCTTACCTACACGTTCTTTTCTCCTCAGTTGATCTGTAAATACAAGTCTGCCATGGAGAAGTCTAATTGTTGGTCAAGCTCCAATTGACTGACTATCAAGATAGGTTTTTATATTTATCCCAGAAAGAGGAGATAGGAAGAACCCACATTGAATTATTAAAGATGCTAAACTGTAGTTAAATTATTGACCTGGGCCTCTGCAGATGCACTCGTAGCTATTTTGAGCTGTGCTGTTCAGCAACTCAAAGCGACAAGCCGATGAAGCTATCGCAGCCTGTGACACCTTGCTTACACTTTTTGGAGTAGCTGTTCAAAGAGATCTCTCCCTGGTGCTGCTTACAGCTTTTCCCCCCTTTAAGTCTTTAACCTCCCATCTTTCGTGGTGACATCAGGGGCAGATCTATAGGAAGTTGCTTTGCAGTAATGCCAAGACAGCAGAAATTATTTGCGCGAATAAGATTTGTTCCCTCAGGGGATGGAGGGGAAAAAAAAAAAGCCTGAGGAATGCTTAGGTTGTGATCAGAATCTCACCTCACCTTTCCCAAAAATAGAAGAGCAAATTGGCAGGGTATGTCAGAGCATTTTGCTCAAGTTGATCCAAATTCTTGAGGGGGTGGGCACTGCAATACCGAACACCACTTCCCAGGCATGCAAGGCTAAGCAGGAAGCAGCTTGTGAAAGATGTGCTCCTGCTTCCAGCTGGGACAAAAATAATACAGGGCTGATGCCATGGACAAGCCAAGTTCCCTCCCTCCCCATGAGGAAAAACTTAAAAGAAAGTTACTTATGCTGTGTTAAACCACATTAAAGACTCACACAGGGCACTGCATGAAGTTACAGGGTATTTTATTTAGCGCAAATTGGTTTGCTTACACCCTGGAACCATTTGGGAAAGAACAGATGCCTGACAAACAAAATCAGCAAGAGTGGAAATAAGGTGTGACCTTTACCTTCCTCACTGCTCTCCTTGGGACCAGTTTCTTCCAAACCCAAACCAAAGAGATCTGAGTCATTTTTCAGTTTAAAGGAAGGGACTGTTGATTTCACAGATTGGGGTGGCTTTGTCAACGAGGTATCATCATCAGATATTTCAGAGAGATCTTCCCGGACTGGGAATTCATCCTAGAGACAAGAAAAGGCAGAAGACAGCAACAAATCTTTCAACCAAAATCTCTAAGCATTTTGTACACAAAGACATCAGATGTTAGCAGGTGGGGAGGAAGGAAGGACATGGTAGCTGAACTGAGCTGTTATTGCCTGGAAATCAATGCCCTTGATCTTATGAGCTCTATCTATTTCTGGCCTCACTAAAATGCCTCAGTAGCACTGGTATTGGAAAGTGTGCTCTGATAATTTAACATTCATGCTACTGAAATCAAATTCCTGACGTAAAGGGATTAAACGAGATCTTCAACTGTGTTAGTTCAACAGCATCAGCCTCTAACTGCCCTGGAGAGGCACCTCTGTTTTGGGGAAAATCCAAATCTAATAGGCTGACAAAACCTTTTTGCTGTGCAGCTCTGTAGGGTCTTGTGTACCAGAGGCAACATGCAGCAGGGCCAAGGAAGCGGTCTGTGTTTGCAGAGTTAACTCCCTTCATTGAGTCAAAAGGGAAAGTGTTCCCAGGGCAAATTTGCCTCTTCAACGTGGGCTAAAAAAGAGGATGCTGCAGAGACTGGATATCACCCCAAAATCCTCTGTGTCTGCATGATGGGAATGGAAATGAAGTTTATTGATCTTCTGATACCTGCCAACTGATCCTGTTCAGAATTCGTTAACCACCCTTTCTTTATATCCTCCATACTGACCAAATACAGCCTCGCTCTGCTGCTGATCTAGGCAATGCCCTCCTTGCTAATGGTGGTGTGTTTACTGCTTTCCCTGACCAGTAAACCTTGTAGTTGAAAAGCATTCACAGGTTGTGGGGCATCTCCCTGACACTGTTGCAATGACAAGCTCCCTCACAAGTCCTGTTTCCCATCATCACATGCTAAGAGAAACAAACTTGCTCCAAATACTTTTGCTTTCATATTAAAGTGCCAAGAAAACCAAGTACTGAAAATGCTAAACGAATGGAAAATTACTTAATAAACACTGTGACATGTAGGCAAGGTCAAAGAAACTGGGACAACTGTCCTTTCTGAAGGATTCCGGAATGATGCAAACCCATAAAACACCCCTGAACACCACCTAACCCAGACACCAGAAGTAACCCTGACCAGCAACTGCCCATCCCAAATCATGTTAGCAGCTTCTACATATTGCTCTGCTGGCTGCGAGTACAGATCACCAAAATCAGGGATATCTAGGCCACAGCAGCAAGTTCCTACCAGCCCAAAGATATTTGTGTTTTCTCCATCTTTAATACACTACAAAGTGCAGAGGGGTCTCCTGCTCCACTGTGTGTTTGAGCAGACACCTCCAGGCAGCACTATGCAGATGCCCACGTGCTGAACACCACAGAGACATTATAGCTAACCTGGCTACGCTGGGAAGTCCTTCGCAGGCAGATTTTCCTACTTCACTAAGAAGCTTTGCCACGCACATTTTGTTACAGCCTTTTGCTTGCAGGGTTGACTGTAGGGAGCTCACTCTCTTGCAAGCACACACTTCCACATGCTAAACTTCGGGTGAAAAACCATTAGCTTTGTATTTTGTACCCTCCATACTGCTGGACTGACTGCGCTTTGGACTTCTTGAGAATAAACAGCACATGAAAACCTGTAAGCGCAAACCTGGTCGCTGTGTGGCTTCAACAATCACAGCATTAGTGGGTTTGTGCTTATATCAATCTCTTCAGGTTGCTTAGCACCTGACTTGCTGTGCCTGCTGCTGAGAGATGGGAGAGCAGATGAAAGCACTGCTCAATGAGACGCCTCAACACTTCAAGCTCAGCTTTGCAGCAGCATACAGCGATTCACGCATGTTATTTACCATTTTCTTCTTCTGGCTGTCAGAATCCTCACTTTCGAAGTCTGGGTCATCCATAACAAATGAGAGCATCTGAGTAGCTATTGGTCCCTCTTGATCACTGTCAGACTCCTCAGGCTTTTCCTCTTTGACCACTTTCTGCTTGAGAGCATGTCCTTTGCTTTGGGAAGTGGTCTTTGGGGCCTGGACCGCTGCTGGAGTGGCAGCAGCAGCAGTCGGCAGGCTAGTGTTGACCTTGCTGCTGCTGTTTCTTTCGGACCCAGAATGTGGAGGTAAATTGTCAGGAGGCTTTGGGTCAGTTACTTTGGTCAAAATTGCTTCACTCTGTGGTTTCAGAGAATTTCTGGAAGACCTAAGAAGAAAGAAACAAGTTGTCAGAGCCTGTCTATCCCCGTTCTGTGAAGCAAAGTACAATGACCAATTAATAGCTGAGCCTGCCTCAAGGGCTGCAATGTGCATCTACACAGGAGAGGCAGTTCATTCTAGGGTGTGTGTGATCAATCACATACCACTCAGAGGCTGAGGATAACCCTTGTGTGCCCGTGGATGCCGATGTACAGTTGTCTGTGCCAGCACGCCACACCTGACCATCACCCACTGGATGTGGTTATGTGGAGAACATGATCCAGTTCATCGTTCTCCAGCACAGCGTGTGGTGAATGACTTCTGTTCCCTTCACCGCAAGACTCGACTCTTCTGTCCTCCTTACACTGCTATGAACAGACGTTCAGGTGCTCAGTTACAGTCTCTTGTTCAAACTTGAGAAAAAGGCCGGGCCATTCCCAAGGAGCAATGTACCGATGAGCACAGTGCTCAAAGGCATGCTGCCTAGGTGCAGTGCAGAAAACACTGCATAAAGCTGTCACACCTAAAGTAAATACAGCCCCAGCTTACAGTTGAAGGAACAGGCTGATAGAGACACCAAGATTTCCCAGAGGCTGCACAGAAGTCAGTGGCAGGACTGAGAGGAGGCCCAAGTTTGCCAGCACAAACCCACACTTCAGGCTGTACTTTGTACCTTTTTTTTTCCTGCTCCTTCTCGATGTCTTCATCAGGTATGAGTACGACCTTAGAGTCCTTCACCTTTTCCTCTTCCTCCTCCTCACTGGAGAGGGTGACATTGTTGCTGGGCACCCGTTCTGTTGCCAACATGGGTCTGCTGGGGATTTTGTCATCCAGATCCAGGTCATCTTGGAAACCTGCCACCATGGGGTTCCCCCCAGGCACCTCTCCATCGCTGCAAAATAGCCAATGATCAGACACAGCACCCCCAGGATGTGTTACAACAGACATACCTCCCCTTGAAAGCAGACTGATGCTTGCCTGGCTCTTCTGGCCAACTTCATGGTCAACGTCCCTCAGGCTGGGGCAGCTGCAACTACCAGCTGTCCCCCTGCACACTGCCCAGCCGCTGCCCCGTTTAGGCTGCACCTGCTCGCTGTGGGCCACAGCGGTGGCACACGCCCTGTACAAAACAGGCCACAGAAGGATGTGTCACACAGTGGCTGCTACCGCTCCAGTTGAAAATAAGTGGCTGGAAAAGGTGAGCCTCAGTGCTACCGAGCAGTCTGTTGTTTCAGCTCTATCAGAACATCTCCGGTCCAACATGCAAGGATCAGTTAATTAAATCATGGGAACTGCCTGCCTTAATCCCCACATCCTGTAATTAAACCTGATCATATACTGTCACTACTATGGGAATTCACTTGCAGCTATTAGCTTCCTGGAATTATTTCTATTTCTCTGGTGCTCCCTGAAGCAGGCAGCTACCCAGACACCATAACCGTGCTTTAACATTCCCCAAATTAAATTAACCTAAGGACACACTTTTAGAGCTAGGATTCTGTCAGACTCCCTGGATGTAACACAGTTATTTGTTCAGAGGCATCCTGATAGAGAGCTTCGCAGTTGAAATTACCAGCTGAGGATTCTTGTCTGAATGTCCCCAGGACTCAACAATTTTAATACTTTCTGAAGGATTTGCTCATGTCAGGAATATAGATATTTTCCTCAGCCTTGGCTGATGAGCCTTTGCACCACCTTTTCTCGTTCTATTTGCTTTATCCACAACAGATACCCAGCTCCTTCCTGATAACCTCCCATACACAATAGTCACTGTCCTTTTAATGACTCGATACGGATTATACAAACACAGCCTTCATTTTTATACAGAGACAAAAAAAATGATTATAGCTTGGAACAGATCAGATTTTAGAAGCATAAAAGGAATCAAAAACCCCTAAAATCCTTAATCTGGAAAAAGGTGGTGTTTCCAGTCAGAAGCACAGGGCCAGCACTGGCAGAGACACTGGAGGATGGTATGCTGATGGGATGGGAAATGCTGAGACCCTATCACAGTCCAGATGATGGTACTACTCACTCTGGCTCTTCTTATTACTAGTTTACAAGTTAGTTTTAAAGAATTATTATTATCTGCCAACAGATAATGGAGTTATTTGTGATATACAGGACACCATGCTCATGACAACCAGTGCAGCACATTGAGAGTGATTACAACCAATGCTTGTCTGGGTTAGAGTGCTAAGATCAGGGCTAAAATCCACTCCCCCCTTCTGCTTTTGGTGTGTATTCCTCTGCTTTCAGGACTCACAGCGCAGCTCCCAGCTCAGCAGAGACAGGCTGCTAAAGAGCCCCTTCATCAGTAACACTGCTGCTCTCATATCGAGCCAGAAAGGAGGCACACAGCCTGTCCCACACAAAGGAGAAGAAAACTGGTGCCCAAAACAGCCTCCAAGGTTGGAGGAATTACAAGTGAGTGATTTCTGAGGTCTGCAAAGCAATGGCAGGGTTTCTTCTTGAAAGGCACTGGAAAGAAAACGGAGTTGCATCCCAAAAATGGCAGGACATTATTCTGAACTAGTGACACTGCACTTCTTTACACATCACTGCTCTATTAAGCACGAGGACTCTTCAGAGATTGCTGCCACTGTCCTTCTACCGCACACCATATCAGACTTGCAGCCTTTAAAGCATTCCCAGTCCGAACACAACATCCACATGTGTACACACACCTGCACAAAGTGGGTCATCTCCCTTTGCAGTGAATACACTGCCTCCATCTATAACTTACATGCAAATCGTTGAGCGACAGCTTAAGAGCAAAGCAATGGAGTGAATATACATCAGGAAAATGACTGCTGCAGTATAAACAAGGTCTGACAACGCAAAACTAGTATCAGCTTGTGGTCCTGAGGTTCCAGCTGGAAGGAATTCAGAGCATGCAAAAACAAGCACATCACACCACTCTCTCCAACACTTGACGTGCTGCCAAGCCTGCGTTAGTGTTGAGCCAACGTGTTTGCAGGCACAGGTACCCACCAAAAGTGACTATACTCGCTGAGGTCTGCATCTGAGCTACTGATCAAAGAGCACATTGGGATTTCCTCAGTGAGCCCTCCATCATGTACACAGAATGGCTGCTGGTGATGAAACAAATCCTGCTGCAACCCGAGTTCACGGTCTTAAACCCGGATCGACTGTGTTCTACCAGGCCTGCTGTGTGGCCAGTGGGGCCAGCCCCACAGGCAGCCAGCAGAATCCTCTTGCCACATCAGTTTTTGGGGCTAGAGAAAGAGGAAAAACTCAAACTCTAATAAAGCAGACAAGCTGAGGGAATCACACGCCACAGATGAGCCTGCAGGGCTACATTCTACAAGATCGGGGTCTTCTCCTGGGAACCAAACAGCGTCCTCAGCTTCTCTCACTTGGTCTAGTGCAGCTGGGTACCACTATATGAGTAACATATGTCATAAAAGCAAAGAACCAGTTCAAAGCCCTTCAGATGTAAAGACAAGGAAATCTGATCAGTGTTTAAGATAAATGTCTAGTGATGCTGAGAAGACAGATCAGGAATACTGTTAGGTACAGCATGAACTCACTTTCAGACACCTAGAGCCCACCCATGGATCTAGGCCAGCCTGACCCAGGAGGAGGGAAGAGAGGAGCCTATCTGGAGCCAGATTAGCTCCTCCGGTGCAGTCACATACACACTGGCTCAGGGCATCAGGCTAAAGAGCAGTAAATTAAGTTCTGAAAGAGCAAACTGAGAGATTGAACTGTCTTCCTAATTAACTGGTAAAGAAACTGATTTTGGGAGTCCTCTTTATTGCAAGCTAGAGAACCATAACATGTCATTAAACAAAACCCAGGACCCCAGTAATTGCCACAGATTAAGTTGGGATTTAGCTGTAGCAACACCAGGGGACATCAGTAAGTGCTAAAAGTCTCAGCAGCTGTCTGATCTTTGGGCAAGAGTAGCCTTGCTCCACAGGCATGAGTGCATTCCTCACTGATAGCACACTTAAGAAAAAAAAGTGTTTTCTTCTAACATTACTGCTCCATGACAATTCTTGCTCCATTGTTTAGAGATGCTATGGGGTAGGGAATGAAAGAAGTTCACTTGACATCATTGCAAAAAAATAAAGAATTCTCTACGTCAACAAAACGGATGAGAAATACCAGACTTTACAGACTGTTCCTGAAGCTCAGAAAAGCAAACAAGTTCTCACAAATGGAATCAAACACATCCCTGAGTTCAGGAAGCAGTTCAGTTACACAGCATTACATCCTGCTTCCAACAACGAGAACAAAACCTTCCTCTCTTCCCCAAGAAGCTGACCTCTATGTGCGAGAGCAGCTGGAGTGCAGGGAGCTCTGTCTGGGGATGGATGAGGAGCCACCTGAGAGCTTGTGGGTTAGGATTCAAGAGAGGACAGGTAAAGGTCACACCATAGTGGGTGCCTGTTACAGGCTGCCTGACCAGGGCCAAGTGGATCAGGCCCTCTACAAAAAGATAGGAGTAGCCTCATGTTCACAGGCCCTGGTCCCCATGGACTTCAACCAACCTGATATCTGCTGGAGGGCCAAGACAGCAAGACGTAAGCAATCCAGGAGGTTCCTGGAGTGCACTGATGACAACTTCCTCTTCCGACTGACAGAGGAGCCAACGAGGAGAGGACCTCATACTCACAAAAAATGAGGGGCTTGTTGGGAAGGTGAAGGTCAAAGGCAGCCTTGGTGAAGTTCAGGATCCTGAGGGCAGGGAGGAGGGCAAAAAGCAAACTGGACTTCAGGAGAGCAGACTTTGGCCTCTTCAAAGATTTGCCTGGAAGAGTCCTGGAAGAGATAAGGCCCTGGAAAGAAGAAGGGCCCAAGAAAGCCTGTTAATATTCAAAGATCACCTCCTCCAAGCTCAAGCAGTCCATCCCAACGTATATGGAGTCAGGCAAAAATGCTAGGAGGTCTGTGTGGATGAACAATGAGCTCCTGGACAAACTCGAACACAAAAAGAAAACATACAGGGAGTGGATGCAAGGACAGGTAACTTGGGAGGAATACAGAGACATCATCCAAGCATCCAAGGATGAAATCAGGAAAGCTAAAGCCCAAAAGGAATTGAATCTGGCCAGGGATGTCAAGGACAACAAGCAGGGCTTCTATAAGTACATAGGTGGCAAAAGGAAGACTAGGGAAAATGTGGGCCCATTGCTCAATGAGAAGGGGAGCCTGGTTACACGGGCCATGGAAAAGGCTGAAGTACTGAATGCCTTCTTTGCCTCAGTCTTTACTAGCAAGACTAGCCCTTCAGGAACTCCAGGTCCCAGAGACCAGGGGGATAATGTGGAGCAAGGAAGATGTACCCTTGGTGGAAGAGGATCAGGTCAGGGATCCTGGTCAAAGCAAAACTGGACATACATAAGTCCATGGATCCTGATGGGATGCACCCACGAGCGCCGAGGGAGCTGGCAGATATCACTGCGAGTCCACTCTTGATAATCTTTGATCAATCGTGGTGACTGGGAGAAGTTTCTGAAGACTTTCCTGAAGAGGAAAGCAAATGCCAGTCCCAGAGAACTACAGCCCCATCATCTTCACCTCGATCCCTGGGAAGGTGATGGAGCAGCTAATCCTGCAAACTATTTCCAGGCACATGAATGGTAAGAAAATCATCAGGAGTAGTCTGCATGGATTTACCAAGGGTAGGTCTTGCTTGACCAACTTGATAAAAGTCTATGATGCAATAACTGGCCTGGTAGATGAGGGGACAGCAGTGGATACCCGGACCTCAGTAAGGTCTTTGACACTGTCTCCCGTAAGATCCTCATAGGGAAGCTGTTGATATACAGGTTGGATGAGGAGACAGTGAAATGAATTGAAAACTGGCTGAATGGCCAGGCCCAGAGGGTGGTGATCAGTGGCATGCAGTCCAGTTGGAGGCCAGTAACTAGCGGTGTACCCCAGGGATCAATGCGGGGCCCAGTCCTGTTTATCATCTTCACTAATGATCTGGATGACGGAGCAGGGTGTATGTACCCTCAGCAAGTTTGCAGATGACCCCAAACTGGGAGGAGTGACTGATGCACCAAAGGGTCATGCTGCCATCCAGAGGGACCTCGTCAGGCTGGAGAAATGGGCTCACAGGAACCTCCTGTAGTTCAACAAGGGGAAGTGCAAAGTTCCACACCCGGGGAGGAACAGCCCCAGGCATCAGTACATGCTGGGGGCCACCCAGTTGGAAAGCAGCTTGGGAGAGGAGGACCTGGGGGTTCTGGTGGATGCCAAGTTGAACATAAGTCAGCAAGGTGCCCCTGTCGCAAAGAAGGTCGATGGTATCCTGGGCTGCATTAGGCAAAATATTGCCAGCAGGTCGAGGGAAGTGTTCCTTCCCCTCTGCTCTGCACTGGTGAGGCCACATCGGGACTACTCTGTGCAGTTCTGGGTGCTCCTCAGTACAAGAGAGACATGGGCATACTGGAGAGAGTCATTGAAGGGCCATGATGATGATTAAGTGCCTGGAGCACCTCTCACATGAGGAAAGGCTCTCCCATGAGAGCTGGGACTGCTTAGACTAGAGAAGAGAAGGCTTGGGGGACCTTATAAATGTATTTAAATACCTGAAGGAGGGTGGAAAGAAGATGGAGCCAGACTCTTTTCAGCAGTGCCCAATGACAGGACAAGAGGCAAGGGGCACAAACCAAAACACATGAAGTTCCCTATGAACATCAGGAAACACTTTTTCCACTGTGAGGATGACCGAGCACTGCCACAGGTTGCCAGAGGGGTTGTGCATTCTCCATCCATGGAGATATTCAAAAGCCACCTGGGCAACCGGTTCTTGGTGGCCCTGGTTGAACAGGGAGGTTGGACCAGATGACTTCCAGAGGTGCCTTCCAACCTCAGCTGTTCCATGATTCTGTGAATGTAACTATCTCTGCTTCACATGTGAAACGCACTGCACACTAAGGCGTTCCCACATGAGCTAACGGTAAGACTCTTGCTTATAGACAGTAAGGCAATTCGTTTTATTTGGGTAAAAGAAGTAACTTCACAAATTCTCAAAACACAGCCCATTCTTCTGCCACATCTTCAATGGCTCTTCAGTTTCCGAGCGAACACTTGGTTACAGCACACCCAGAAGAAATGCTGGCAAGCTGCGTAAGCTTAATGCTCAGATATCTGCTTAAAAATGATCAGGAGACCTGAAAGCATCTCTCGTGTATGTTCTCAGGCTTTGTTCCTCACTCAGATGCAAAGGGAAAACAGCTTCCAGTATTTAATTTTTTAAAACCAATAAAATCTCTATTAGGTTTGAGTGGTTTCACAATAGAACTTTTGTGTCCATTAGCTCAGAGATAAATTTCTGCAGTAGTAGATTTTGTTGCAACTACAACAACCTACTCACTGCAGTAGAAGCTGATTACTAGGGACGGTGCTTACAGAACTCTTATGTTGCTCCTGGGCACCATGGGATTGTAACTGGCATCCTGAAGGAAATCAATTATTGCAGGTGATGGTCAGAACCACATATACATCTCTGAATTTCAGCACATCTGGCTTATTCTGGTAGGCCCTTTTTGGCAAGAAACAGAGGGTAAAATTGCCAGACCACTGAGAAAACTGTGTGAACTACATAGGAAACCATAGCAAGACACAGATGCCAAGCTGCAGAGAAATAATGAGCATTTGAATTTGCAGGGACGCACTGCAAGGTCTTCTCCTAGGGAAATAGAGCTGTTCTAACTGCAGATTGTTACCACTATCATCAAAGGATGAAGCTGTGAACAAGCATCCTCTCTGTGCTCTGTGAAAGCCCAAAGGTGTCTCTTTTTCTGTCCCCACCAGCTCATACGCACTGGAAGGCTACCAACACTGGGGACAGAGTGCAGAAGGGCGTCATAGCAGCCAACAACATGATAATTCTGCAACCAAGGAGGAGGGCTCTCGCACCACCGTTTGAGATGTTTGGCTTTTTGTACAGTTTTAACATCTATTTGCTTCCACCGACTGACGTTCTGGAGAAGAGAAGCCTTTGTTAGAGATCCAGCCTCCTACCCACAGCAAGAACTGCAGCTAAAGAGCTCCAAGTGCACTCCAGGATTCAGTCCTTCAGCAAACCCCAGGAAGGTCAGGCTTGGCTCTCCTGACATTTCCTTGTTAAACACAGAAAAATATCCCAGCTCAGCCACAGCCGTGAGCAAGATGCTTTGTAGGCCAGCATGCTTCTAGCAACCACCACTTTTTTCTCCTTTCTTTCCTTTTTTTTTTTTTTTTTTAAAATAAAACATCCACGTGTTCTACCATCACAAGGGATGATGATTCAGGCTGACCTGCATTAGACAGGCATCAAGCCTCACACACAGCATTGATTTAAAGTTGTTGTGGTTGAACTAGAGAACACTGAATCATGACAAAGATGTCAAAAGATGCAGAATCCACTACATCCACAGATGAGCTGTATCAGCGTTTAATTACTCTCCTGGTTAATCCAGCGTTGATGACAAGAGGCAGCAGGCAACAACTATTCTGAGCAGAGGGATGCAGAGCCTGTGAGTATGCTTAGGTCACCTCTTAAGTGACAGTTGCTTTCAGACAGCTTGCTGCACATCCTCTTGTCTGAGTAGCTCAGCAGACACAATCCCTTTTCCCTTTTTTTGGTTAAAAAACATCAAAGCCAGGAAAAGGAAAAAAAAGAAAATAAAAAAAAAAAGAAAATCCAGCCCACAGCATAAGCACAGCTCTCTGCCATTTGGAGGACAGAATTATAGAATCACAGAATAGTTTGGGTTGGAAGGGACATTTCAAAGTCATCTAGTCCAACACCCCTACAATGAGCAGGGACATCTTCAACTAGATCAGGTTGCTCAGAGCCTCGTCGAACCTGACCTTGAATGCTTCCCGGGATGGGGCATCTACCACCTCTCTGGGAAACCTGTGCCAGTGTTTCACCACCCTCATTGTAAAAAATTTCTTCCTTATATCTAGTCTAAATCTACTCTCTTCTAGTTTAAAACCATCAATCCTTGTCCTATTGCAATAGGCCCTGCTAAAATGTCCGTCCCCACCTTTTTTATAAGCTCCCTTTAGGTACTGGAAGGCTGCTCTAAGGTCTCCCCCGAGCCTTCTCTTCTCCAGGCTGAACAAGCCCAACTCTCTCAGCCTGTCCTCACAGCAGAGGTGCTCCAGCCCTCGGATCATCTTCGTGGCCTCCTCTGGACTCACTCCAACAGGTCCATGTGCTTCTTGTGCTGAGGACCCCAGAGCTGAAGGCAGTACTGCAGGGGTGGGTCTCACCAGAGCAGAGTAGAGGGGCAGAATCCCCTCCCTCGACCTGTTGGTCATGCTGCTTGGGATGCAGCCCAGGATACGGTTGGCTTTCCGGGTTGCAAACGCACATTGCTGGGTCATGTCCACCTTTTCATCCACCAGCACCCCCAAGTCCCTCTCTGCAGGGCTGCTCTCAATCCCTTCATCCCCTAGCCCATATTGATACCTGGGGTTGCCCTGAACAAGCTGCAGGATGTTGCACTTGGCCTTGTTGAACCTCATGAGGTTCACATGAGCCCATTTCTCGACCTTGTCCAGGTCCTTCTGGACGGCATCCTGTCCCTCAGGCATGTCAACTACACCACACAGCTTGGTATCATCTGCAAACTTGCTGAGCATGCACTCGATCCCACTGTCTATGTCACTGATGAAGATATTAAACAGCACTGGTCCCAGTATAGACCCCTGAGAGACACCACTTGTCACTGATCTCCATCCGGACATTGACTCATTGACCACTACTCTCTGGATGTGACTACCCAGACAATCCCTTACTCACCAAATAGTCCACCCATCAAACCCACATCTCTCCAATTTAAAGAGAAAAAGCTGGGAAGGAACACCAGAAATGGACAGAGAAAAAGAAAGGCACCCACTAAGACTTTTCTGGAATCTGTAGGTAAGCATGCAGTGACACTCCCAAGGGAGCACAACCCTCCCCATCCTTCCTTCCAGAATCCCACTGAGCCATGGAGTGTCCCCAGGTGTCCTCCAACAAACTCAAACCTCTTTATAACACCTCAGGAACGGCAGTACCAGGGCACAAAGGAGCTTGGCCATGCCTGGCCTCTGCAGCAGGGAAGTATTCATTAGGGAAAATATAATATCCCTGCAAAGTGCACTGTGTTCCAGAAGGAAAATATCTCAAATGTTTCAGCACATTTGGCCAGAGGGAAGTCCATTCCTGACTCAAAGAAACCCAGTGGTTTAACACTGAGCGTGAAAGCAAGACAGTAAAACCAGGAACGCGATAAGTAGCTTTTACTGCTGTCCCTCGTTGCCAGGGAGTAGCGTGTATCATCAAATGGGAGACAGTGAACATAGACTATGACTGACCACACAACAGCCAGAAATGCTCACAGGCAGCTAATTGCTCTGCAATCACTTTCTGAACAGTTGCAAGAGGTTAGCCAGGCCCAAGTCCTCATTCAGACTGCACATCCAGATATGTCCCAGTCTCACCCTCCCTCCATCCTCCTTTCCTTACCTTTCACTATCAACACGGTGTTTAGTCTGTGGTTTCCCTTTGTCCTTCCGTGGAGCTGGGTCTTCTAGAAAGCTGTGGTCCAGACTGTCATCAGGAACAAAGTCCTCCACACTCTGTACTTTTGCAGGGGCTTCAGGGTGGGGAGGAGGAGTGGCAGCAGCAGGATCTGCATTAGCAACAGTAGTTGTAAAACATGGGATTCATCACAAGCAAGACAGAAATTTGCTTTTTACAGATCTATCCTGCCCAGGGTGTCAACAGCCACAAACCAGGACCTTGGCTACACAGCAAGGGAAGAGGAAGGTTATGAGCAAGATACTCAAACCAGTCCAGAGTCTTGCATGAAGGCATTTACAGACCACAGACGGCTGTTGTGGTTTTAAATGCACCAGGCTGATCCAGGCTTTTAGTCTGAAAAATTCTCTAGCATGGTAGTTGACTCTGCTCTACAGTGAGTACTACGACTGACTATACCACAACCAGATTTTATACCTATGCTGTGTGCACTGCTCCGGTGTGATGTCCCTTCTTTATTCTCCTACTTTTTCCAGACTGCTCAGTTCACCCACTTGCCTCCTCTTGCTTTTTCAACTGTAACTGTCGAAGGCAGAATTGTTCACACTGTGCTTTTAGACGCCCTGTGTAACCAAAAGCTCAAGACCTATTGCAAGTAGGGACTTGCTTTAATGTAGTTTATTTGTAGAGACATCTTTACCCATCTTCAAGGTATGAGGATGAAAACTCATGAAATTAGCATAACCAAGAAGCCTAAAGTGATTAACCTTTTCAGAATTTCCAATATTCAATCTTTTTCTTCTGCACAGACTGCACTTCACATTTAGGCTCTTTTCTTTGAGGTGAACAAGATCTGTATATCTTTTTCTAGATTTTGTTCTACTAGTACAGCTTTCGGATCACTTCTGCATATGAGTAACACTATTACTAATGTCATACAGTAGTGTTGGTGTAAGAAAAAACACAGCCAAAAGAATTACTACTGCAAGACTTCAAGGGAAAGCTTAAATAGCAGCTTCCATAAAAAACCAAGTATTACTCTGTGACAGTGATTTTTCAACTGCTTTCTGATTAGCTAGCACCTAGGTATGTTCCAGTAGAGGTGCAGACCCTTGGCATACTACATAAACCTAATAACACTGACTGATCAGCTTCTCCTAGCTGCCTTTTGCAACCTTCCTAAAAAGCACCCTTGAGATACCAGGACTGCAGGCCACAAGCCTAAAACAGTTCTCAAGCTAAGTAACAGATTTAAAAAAAACAAGAAAAAAACCCAAACCCAAAGACTGTAACACTGGTAGTAGACCACTTGCCTTTTTTCTACATATCAATATGGCAAAGTTCTTTTTTTATTGACAAGGGATTTTTAACGTTTGCTCCTCTTTGTTCATTTGTTTGTTTCTGGGTAGGAAGAGTCATAAACAAACTGAAATGGGTGTACTGTGTCATACCTGGTAACAGATTCGGGATGCAGAACATTGTGTGCAGATCTAAAATTGAAAGATTTCAACATCTAAAACTACAAACCATGTTCCCAGCACCTCCTCCTTTCTTTCTGTGGGTGGTGTCTTGAGAATACTGTGAGCTCTAGGGATTGACAGTTTGAGAGGGAAGGTATTTCCAAAGGATGATTCAAACCATGTCATGCTAATGATTTTTAGGCAGTGCCAGCTCTGCAGCTCCAGTTAGCTTTGCAAACAAAGTGAATGTGACAGGCAAATTAAGGTCCAGATCAGTAAAATTACAGGCAACAAAACCCTTGATGCCTCTGCCCTGCAACTTCGTCCGGCAGGGGTTTGGACTGAACGCTGCGCTACTCTGCTCCATTGTGTACTAGTGCTAAGGGAGGAGTAAAGGCAGGCTGCCCTCCTCCTCAGACCATCTCTGAAGGAGCATATTTCCCCAGAGGGGAATCTGCTGCAGAGCCTGGACTTACGTGATCATTTCTGGCTGAATAACCTTTAAAACCAGCACTCCGCTGCTCTCCGTTAACACACAGGAGCCCCTTTGAGCTGCCACACTTTTGTGAAGACAGAGCTTCAAATAGTTTCTATAACAATTTTTCTTGCTATTCAAGAGGCTTTTTGTTCCTGGCAAGAAGCTGATGGTTATTTTATTAGTGTCTCTTGTGTGTTCAGTATCCTCGTCCTAAAGCATGCTAGAGCCACCACTCAGCTGGCTGGACATAGTCCCCACCCAAGCCCAGCACAGAGACAAACCAAAACGCCAATCAGAAGAAAAATAGAGAGTGACAGCGTAGCTCTCCTTGGACACACGCTCCACACACACAAGGCCTGTGGCCTTCAGACACCTGTCTGCTCAGCCTCTCACAGGGAAAAAATGAAAGGAAAACAGAGAAATGCCCACGGGTGACACCCTGTCTAGATAACGCACTCCAGCACTTACCTGGCTGGGGAGGAGAGGGGTCTGATGCAGGAGATGTCCCAAAGAGACGTGAAATAATGCTGCGCTTTGGTGGTGCAACTGCAGCTGGAGGTGCTGGGGAGGCTGTAGCTGGTGGAGGTGCATGTGGCTGCTGGGCCTCAGGTGCAGGCACTGGTGAAAAAGATGGAGGGGGTTCAGGAGAGACGGTGGAGCTTGTGGAAAGCGGCTGCGGTGGCTGTGGGGTGCCAGGGCTGGAGCTGCCCGTTGATGTGGAGCTCGGAGGTACGATGGGTGACTGGGAGCCAGAGGAAGGGCTTTGCCCGTTAGTTGTTAGTGGCGACATGTGTCCTCGGCTTCGAGCTTCCATCATTTCAAGGAAGCTGCAGGGAAGATAAATTGTAAATATAAGGAATGGAGAAAACATGCTCAACAGAGCACTGAGCGTGATGCTGGGCTGCTCTAGCTATGTGCTGAGCTGGGAGGGTATGGGTCTGCTTTCAGTGATGCTGCAGCTTCTTGGGCCACAATAAATCTGGTTCATCCACATAGGCTAAACTCGCCCAATCTGCACTGAGGTGTGGAGAATCCCAACCTGCTTTGCACTGCAGGATGAAACCTATATTTGCAATGCTGCTGGGAAATCCCTGGATAGACAGACTATAACAACATGCCAGGGCTTGAAACACAACCCTAAGTCAGTTCTTGGACATATGTCTCTAAGGGAGTAAGTGCTATAGGAATGGAACATTTTTAGATTCTGCAGAAGAGATCAGAGTGTTCAAGAAAACTCAAATGCTATAAAAACCTCTTCTTTCAACCCAGAATGGATTTGAGAGGAGAATCCTTGAATGTCAAAAGAAAAGAGCTGCCCAGAGGGCTCCCAGAGGACTGACTGCAATTATCCTTCTTGCAATGTGCAGATATACAGGCAGTCTCTCCCCTGGCACGCACTCCCCCTCTGTGTGGGAGGCACTGGAGCCAGGCAGCAGAAGCACTGAAGCAAGTTGTGGTCCTGGCTGGATTCCTGACTAGAAGAGCATTAAAGCCTGTACTGCTAGAGAGAGTGAAATGCTCTACATTCTTTTTAAAAGGAAACAAAGCCTAATCCTGCTGCAGCCTCCTTCTGCAGCCTGTTTGGTTAGCAGTCTTTTCACAAGCTGTATGCAAAGAAACACTAACAGAAAGACAGGCTCTTACCATGAAATGGTCTCAAAATAAGATCTGCTACATGCTGCACATCTGAGAGATATAAAGAGGACACCCGAAGTGAAGTACCATTTATAAAATCTAGCACGTCACGGTCTCGTCTCTTCATTAAGCCTAATGAACTTGTGCCGAGAGGCTCTGGGTTCAACTGCTTCTGCAAGACAGACAGACTTGGTTGTGCTCCAGACAACAAGCATGTCAAAACAGAGAGTCCTCTCCCATGCAGAGCACGACCTCGTCCTTCAGGGACTTGAGCCAGACAAACACCTTCACTTGAATGACTGCTGAGCAGAAGGCAAACTGCAGGGGTTAAAAGACTCTAAACCCCCTTGAAATATCATTCCCTGTTTTACGGAGTAACCTGATACACTTCTAAGGAACAAACTAACACACTTTGTGACCAGCAGTGTCTGGGGCCCTAGAGAACAACATCCCCAGGAAGCTGTTACTTGAATTGGAAAACCAGCAGTCCCTCCTAACTAAGGAACTGGTGAAAGCAGAGATAAAGGGTACCACTAAAAAGCAGTATTAGCTAGGAGAGAAATCGTTGGTAGAGTTCCTCAAGGATTAGCCTTGAGATATATTTCAGCATTTCAATGAAGCCGCTTGAGGTTGGTCATGAGGCTGCAATTTGGGAGGCAGCATCAACAGAGGACAGGGACAAGATACAGAAAGAACTGGGTGATCCTGAATAACAGAAAGGGGAAGAAATTCAACAGTACAAAGGAAATAGTCACCTGCTCGAGGACTAGGAAACAAGTGTTCTTGCTCTAAGTTCACCACATGAGAATGACTAGGAAAGACTTGCCTCACTCATTCCAGAAGACCAGACTAAAGGCTGCAATCACAATGATGCCTGGGAGGAGGAGAAAAGGAGCCTGGCTGTCACATGGCTGGCCACTGCCTGTCCCCCAAGACTGCTATCAAGGCACCTAGATTAATGCCACACTGTGGTAGCCTCACTGATGCTTCCACCAGGGTCCCGGGCAAGGCTTATGTGCTTATTCCACCCAGGACACTGGCTATGACAAAACATGCTCCTGGCAGAGCTGAGATCAGAGCATGCGACAGAGCATCCATTCCAGTATCCTCCCTCTCAGAGGACTAGTAGCTGGGGTGAGCTGTTCGACAACACATTCCACTGAAAATGATGCGTGGATTTGTCATGCACCAAAGAGAAAACATAAAGGAGTTTAACTCTAAGCTTTGCGGAGACTGCATCAGGTTTGTTTGGAACGTGCACAATACATCACACACACTGTAAGAATATTATAGTGTATTTTCAATACATCTCTGTCACTGTGCTGCAGGGCCAAACAATCACACATCGCTCCTTTCTTGAGGAGGGGTTACCATACATGTAATTCAGCATCCTCCAAGGCAGACTACGCAAGGCATCTGTGCTGTGTGAAAGGTAAACCAAGGGTACCTGCAATTCAGCCCTTGTTCAGCAAAGCAAATGCTCTTTATCCACAAACCCACATGAATTGCTATGGCCTGAAAAGCTGTTCACGAGACTAGCCTGCACAGGATGTGCGGCTCCGCAGATCCATGCCAGGAGCACTGAGTGCTAAATTCTGTCATCTCTCCCCTCCAAGCTTTGATTCAGGGCTCCTGGCGAGCCGAAGGCAGGATGGTTGAATAGCTCTGCTTTGTGGTACTAATTCCTCCTCTTCCAAGCCCTACTCAGGGTTAAAGACTCCTGCCTCCCAACTGTGAAGAGAGATTAATCCCAGCTGATCTACATGCACTCCTCTTCCTGTTTATAGCAACAGCGATTCTGGCTGGAAGGCCTGCAAGCTTGGTCACTGCTGCATCCAGCATCCAAGACGCTGATGGCAGCGCCGCTTGCTCTCCTGGCTGAGCTGAGCTCTCTGACTGTCTATGTGAGCACCTAAATCACCAACGCTACATGAAGATAGAACTGAGCAACCTGAGTCTCTGATCAGGACACTGAGTCCCACCATCAAGGCAACTGGGTGACTCAGGTAGGATAAGACGACTGTACACTGAAGACTAAGGAACAAGGATTCTGTATGAAGTATATACAAAGTACGTATATAGTCATTTTAGGATACAGAATATGAAGCTCAAAGAGTACTTAAAGCTGGACCCAACAAAGCACAGGACACTCTTTACAATAGCAGGGTATTTGAAGATTTACTGTACTTTGTATTACCAAAGCAGCCCATTTTGGAAACAACCTGCTTTGTTCTGGGCAAGTAGCCAGCTCCAGAGGGAGGGAGGGCTGCAACTACCACCTGTTTCTCCTGCAGAAACACATGAATTTTAAGAGCTGGAGGGAAAAAATGCTACATAACTGAAGTATAAAGAGTGTCATCCTTCCCCCCAGCTCAGCTAGTCTGGAGAGTAACACACATGCAGGCTTCTTCTGCACCTGTGCTCCTACGTCTTGCTCACCTACATTGTGTGAAGGGCATAAGAACAAGAGACAGCAAGTTATTCTTAGTAGAAAGATACAACGGTTATTTGGGGACAGCACGACACAAGCTCTTACCCCAGCACAGCACCAAGGAGAGCTGTGGCACGTGTGCTTTGTGTCACCTTCCTCATCTCCAACCAGACACGTGGGCCAAGCTCTGTGCTGTGTGCCATGACTCCAGGGAAATAAGGATGGTCTGATACTGGTTTTACATGGGCTGCATAAACCAGCTCTGCTGAGCTTTCATATTCATATCTTCTTCCGTGAAAGAGGTGGGTGGAAAAACAGCATACATGAAAGTGCTGCCAGCAAGCTCTCAGTAATTTCCATGGTGGAGGTGTCTAAGCATCCTCCACACTTTGAAAATACTACATAATGCATGAATGCTTTCTCTGGCTTTACACACACTCTTCAGAGGTACAAGCGTGGCTGTTTTGGGAACACACCAGGCCAAATCTGCCACGTGTCTGTTTTTTCTCATATTCTATACAATCTGGTCACTGCGTTCCTTCTTCTATCCTTTTTGTCAGTCCTTCACAAAAGGATTCACTCAAAATCTTACCCTGAAACAAGCAGCTTCAGGTTCACACTAGGTGTAGTAGACCAGGTCCTATTAAAGCACAAGATGAACTCATGCTGTGACCTGAGCACACTTGTTCCATTGGGATACAGAGACAGCAAACGTGCCACGCAAGTCCCGATGGGTCATCTGTCCTCACCCATGTGGGCTCCTTGTTTGCCTTCCATTTCAGACTGAGTAACACGTCCACATCCTCAAACCCCCACTGTCACTTGGACCTACTCGCAAGAGGAGACTTTTATACAATTTTAAAGATGATCTACGGGAACAAGAATTCACCACGGCCTGAGGTTACTGTTGCTCTGCTCCCGGAGCAAACAAAAAAAAAAAGCACAAAAGGACTTGTTAGCCTCACAGTTCCTAAAATTGTCAGCGCTCATGTTCATTTACTATTGAAGACAGGAGCAGCTTGAAGCTTTTTGGCTCCTAATGTGCTGTGATCAATTTTTCAAGCGTATTTCATGTGGCAAGAAAGGCTTTGGGTTATTTTATTAATTGTGAAAATGAAGATTAATAGGCCATGTGACATCAATTTAACTAGGGTTACTGAAGGTTAGATTTCCACATTTGTTTTGGGCTCATTAAAGGCACTGAACCTGATTCCCCCCTAAGCCGAGGTCCCTGAATGTGAAATCAATTGCCAAGCAGGGTTGAATCCTGCTGCCCAAGCCTTGGAGCATACAGCCTCTCCCCAAGAGCTCCTCAGGTTTTCCACTTGACACAAAATGGATGCAGCAGGATAACTCCCCACTTCCATACAGGAAGGTCCATACATACAGGACATGGTCCATGTTCCCCACTTCTCTAGCAAGATCAATGATGACAGGCTCAGTTACAATTAATTCTTAATTGAGCCTTTAGCTGGTGTGATTCTAGACCTGTACTTCAATATAGCTGAAGATACAAGAAAACAGCCCCAGCAGCAGATCCTGCTGCCAGACAGTGCTGGTGTTACTCAGCGCCACGGTCCTTGCAAAATTACAAGCTGTGCTCAATGTGGAAAAAACAAACAAGCAAATAAAACCCCAAAAGCCAATCAATGACTTTGTAGTGAATAAAGCTGTCTAATGCAGGGAGTGTGTGTCCCAAAAGAAGAGTCCTCATCAGGAGAGCACAAATGCCTTTCTGCAGTCACTGGTCCATCACCCGTA